CCAAAAGTTTGCGGTTTTTGCCACCCCGAATAGTATACTAGTAACCCTTCGCATAAAGTTGTATCGTACAGCCAGGACTCGGGTCAAGCTTTTTACTGCGTCGCGTCGGTAGAAAAAACGTAAAGGGCAATGGACGCAATCTCCACATGCTGACTTTATAGAATTACGTTTTTTGGACGAACCTCCGACCATCTGCAGGCCGTAGTCCAATTCAATTTACAACCGATGTTGATAAAGTTTAGAGGATTTTTGTCGTAAAATGGAAGAGGACACCATGCATATTACATGGCACTGAGTAAACTTTATCTGTCCTCTGTGATTTATGTTTAAAATAAATATCTTATTCAGTTTATTTTTAGACCACTGCAAAGCTGACGAGCTGAGAGACATTTCATATTTACAGGACATCCTATTCATAGAGAGACTGACTAGGACAACTTTAAGAGAGCTAAAACGCGAGTATAAGATACTTGTACTTGGAAGGGGTTTAAAAACATCATTTATTTAAATCTATACTAATATTATAAAGATGTAAAATTTGTAAGTTTGTATTTTGGGGGTAATCTTTGGAACTGCTGGTCGGATTTCCAAATTCTTTCAGTGATAGATAGCTATAATGTTCTTGAGTGCTATACCTAGGCTATAAAACATCACACTACAATCAAATGGAGCAGCGGGTGAAACCGCGTGAGAGTAGCTAGTACATCATAAAAGAAAAATAAATATTTTATAAATGAAGTTAATGAAGCTTCGTTCCAAACATTAATAAGATGAGTTACTAGACTTAGGTTTTGGCCTGTACCCACAATATGTTCTGAGGCAGTGTTCACACATGTATATCGCCGAGTCTGCGATAACCGCAAGGCGTAATCTACTTGCAGTTCCAAGTACAAGCTCTTGGAGTAAACTGCTTCAATACACCACCGTAAGTACCGCTCAAGTTTAGCCTCTTAAGGCAACTAAGTCAGAGTAGACGTACTTACTTGTGTCGGCTCGGGATGTATAGTTAGCGACTATCCGTGCTCTGTCTATAGATAAATTAAGTCGATTCGCGTTACCTGTTACAAATAACTAAATTATATCAATTAATTGGGGCAACGGTTTATTTTAATTGAAAAAGAAAATGTAATTGAGTTCTGATTCATTTATTTATCTTTATAATAATTATATCAAACCTTTTTTATTAATTTTATTGTTGATTATCAAAGTTAAATACTATTCTAGACGTAATTTTGAAAACTACATATTTGACATTGTTTATTATGTTATTAACACGTTAACCGCCCGCGTAGATTACTGGTGACCTACGGTAGCGGAGGATTTGCCTTCAATAATTTTCGGTCGGCAGTCAAAGGCTTAAGTATTATAAATTTGTCACCAATTCTTTCATGGATGTCGTAACAGTAAATAAGGAAGATAAACCTGAGAAACCTATATAAAGAACGTTCTTCAACTCAGCTTGGCGTGCAAATTAAGGCAAATTCTTTTATGCAAATAAGATACATTTATGATTTTATTTTTGTATAATCCATAACCTAATAACTTAACTTTATATACATTATAATGGCTCGATGGGTGACAAATCCACAGTTACTTTCGTTTGGATTGTCATAAAATTAATTTGTTTAATGCCAGTCATGTAGAGGGTACAGAAACTAATTTTGTGAATGTCATAGATGTCGCAGAAAAATTGGCAGCACCAAATTGTTGTAGGCGTTGTAGTATTCGTAACAAATGGATGTTCATAGCGTCTATCTTGTTACAATCGACAAGACAGTTTGTCAACTATTTTATCGTGTGTTCTTGAACAGCACTTAGTAGAAATTGAAAATTTCCCTCAAGTTTGACCTTGAGTACAGTTTCAAATAATGCATTAAACTGGTCTTAGCTAAATATGCCTGACATTTATTTTTATGTGATAGGTCAGCAAACGAGCAGACGGATTACCTGATCGTAAGCAATCAGCGCCGCCCATGGACACCCGCAACAACAGAGGAGTTACGATACGATTAGGGATTTGAGAGATTTAGGGATTGGGGGAGGGGAAGGATTAGGCCCCCGGTAACCTCACTCGCACGGCGAAACACAACGCTGTTACACGCCGGTTTTCTGTGAGGCCGTGGTATCACTCCGGTCGAGCTGACCTATTCGTACCGAAGCATGGCTCTCCCACACTTCATGACATCATCTACTCATCATAAGTGAAAGTAAAGTTTTACTCTGAACAGATTAAAAATCCTGAATAATTTGAAAAGGACAGCAACTGATCGATACTATGATTGTTTTCGAATTTGATTTGATTGATTGATGAGATTCTTCGTCATTTATCATCTGACTACATTAAAATACCTTACCTTGTTTTTTGAGGATTAATACTCTCAAGTACTTAAACATTTAATTTCATTCTTTGACAAGACAGCACCAACCAATAATTAATTGTTAATGAACATTTAACTTTCAGAAAACAGCAGCCTTTTGGGGTTAGAGCGAGTATCAGACTCCTTTTTTTGTGAGGGGAAAATCATTAAATGACTTCTCCCGCCCAGGGTCGGGAAGGAGGGAGTGTTAGACTCTTACTGCCTAAAAACCCCCCTGTTCCTTCTCCTGCTTTGGGCCGAGGTCGCGGTGCCTCATGGCGCTTACCCCACAACCACGGCTGGAGTATCAGACTCCTACTGACTACCAACTACCCCGTTCCTTCGCCTGCTCAAGGTCGCGGTATATTTTTGCGCTTATACCAGTAACCCGTTAGGCTTGTGTGGTAAACGTCATACTGAAAATAACCAGATAAACACACATCAGTATACACTCAACTTTCAGCAGTTTAGTTGAAAGGTTGAAATAATGTTTTATAAAAGTAGCTCAACTTTTCTGGCGAGGCGTTGACTTTCACACAAATTATACGCCGCTGTTTACAACGACGAGTCGGCCCCTCAAACATTTGCCCTTGGGTTTACCATGTTGTTCTGGTGTGGATTCTGTAAACAGTTTATCACAGAACATTTCGAATAAACTTATAAAAATATGGCAACTTAACATGACTGTCATATTGAAGTGATTATTTAAATAATTTCAATGCCTATTGTTTCATATAAACCACTGAGCCAAAGTAGATATTTTCTCATTAAATTTTTCTTTGACGATTTTAATATCTAAAAGATTAATGGATTCGTTTTATTTGCTAATATAATAAAGTCTCAACCTTAAAACAATAGAAACACTATTCAATTTCCATACATAGGGATTTCTATTTGTAACAAAGAACAATTTGCCTATAGCTGATTACGTAATAAAAATGACTTGCAAATCTTTTGAAAAAATAGCGATGTGCTATTGTCTCTTTATTTAATTAAAAATAAAACGAATTGGCACGTGCAATTCTATAGGAATTAATTATTTTAATGGCAACAAAAAAACTGAATTATTATTCTGTTTCAAGCGAAGTCATTATTTATTATAATAAAATAATACATAAGCTTTCATATTAAATTAACGCGTTTTGCCGTAGAATCTACTACGCCGTAGAAGTCAATCTTAGGCCTGTGCTACGAATGTATAAATAAATTTGTCTAATTCAGTTTGTTGGGTTGTACATTATATAATTCTGGGTCTTTTCAATATTACCTGGATTTTTTCATTACAGCGATAACCTTTATGATTTAAGAAAAATAATATACCTAGATATGGCGGCAAATGAGAAATGAGCGAATGAATGAATTGCAAATCCCTGCCGCTCATGAACACTTGCAACACCAGGGAAGTTAGAAATGCGTTACCAGTCTTTAGGATATTATAAAGAAGTGAGGATAGTAATAAATGGGGATGAAGATAGCTACACCTATACGACGAAATACAACGCAAGTGTTTTCATTTTAGTTATCTGAATCCAACAAACCTTTTATTACCAAAGCACGAAGATTACCCCTTCATTTGTACACAAATATTATTTTTATGATCAACAGAATAACATTGTTAACCTATACTTTAATTAGACAATGTTCATTATATCGTCAGAAAAAGTATTTCTCCTTAATTTGCCTTTTAACAAATAATTGACAAGTTCCAATTTTTCCATTACATTCACGTTATAATTTATAAAACATTACAAAAAACTTTATTTATTCTTCTATTTTAATAATGACAAATAAAATGATGAATTGCGTTTTGATTGCCATGTACATAACGTTCGGAGGCAAGTTTACATTACCAGGCGGAACTAATTACATAAAGCATCTCGTTTACAGTTTGTTCATACATACGTTACGTTAATGTTTCACACGCGTTGTATGTATACCAATTATATATATATGTACCGTACATATGTATATATATCAGTGCGTATATAATACGTGTTTGTTATGTAATGTATACCTGGCTTACGTATTTAGATATATTAAATTTTGTATACGAAATATTACGCTTTATTATTCTAGCTTCTCTCGCGCCGTTTCACCCGCTGCTCTGCTCCTACAGCTTGTACCGTGTTTTAAGCCTTCGTTAAAACTTAAATAACAAACAAAAAAAATATTGTTCAATTTGAACTATTCGTTCCGGAGATTAGCGCGTTCAAACAAACAAACTCTTCAGTTTTATAATATCCAATAGTAGGTAGTATCTAAAATAAACCTAAGGAATTCTGCTTAGTAAAACTCGATAGTGGCGACATCTTATTCTTGTGACAGTAAAGTAGTAATACGGGTTCAGACAACTACTATACGGCCGACGTATCTTGGCGAATCTGAAGTTAGCCGTTAGTTTGTCTGCGCAATGGATCTTTTAGGAACAAAATTGTGTACTGCGCAGCTAATCGGCTAACTTCAGACTCACCAAGATACGACGGCCGCACTATAGGTACTCTGCACTCTACAAAAAAAAAGGAAAACTCAATAGTAGTGATATCTAAAATGAACATCAGAAATTCTGCTTGGAAAAATTCGAAAGTGTACATCGACATCTGATCCATGATCCAACAATTAAATAAAACGTATTTTCTTTCACAGTGACAACATCAGCACACGACATTTCGCAGCTAAAGGTGCCGTTGTATGCCGACCCCCGCCGGGCAGCCGAGCTCAGCTGCCACTTCAAGATGGATGAACAGAAACTCCATTCTGTCAAGTGGTACAGGGACACTAACGAGATATTCAGATATAATCCTACACAGCAGGTGCGTTGCTTTTTTCTCCCATTTTTTTAAAAATGGACGCAGTTTTGTTTTAAATTTACGCTCAGAATTTCCACGATGTTTTTTCGTCCAAGTCGCTTTTGCTATTGTTCTCTTTGTGTAAAATCCTGATTTAAGTTTTGTTAACGATTTTGCATTTTGTTAAAGTATTCATTCATTATTAAAATTTTTAACCGTTTTACTGGTTGCTGAAAATGGTCTGTCTTGAATGTCTTTATTTAGTGCTTAATGAATTTTATGTTGTCATTTACATACTGCAAGAATAAGTTGGTGCTTTTTGCATCAGAATAGCTTGAATTATTTTAAATGAGTTACATAAAGTCTTTATTGGCACCTAATTATTATATTGGCAATTTTATTGTCTGACATCGATTTTGTATTTAAAAGTTTTATAATACTTTTTAATCATTTTTCCATTACCGGTGACAGATCTAAAAACGAAAAATGGTAATTTCACATGAAATATATTATAATACAAACTTAAACCAACCAACGCATTTAGGTATAGCTACAAAAAAATAATAATATAAAAACTGTTTACTGTGCCGTAAAATACGTTTTATTATTCCATACCAGTCGTTTATTTATCCCCTGAAGATACTAAACGTATTTTGATTTCCCACGGCAATCTTAAAGTCGCTCATGTCCCTTGCAAAGTAAACAGGAACTTCGGTAGGTATTTTATTTCCGTCTTATTTTACTTTAGAGAATTTATAATGTTATTTACTTTCCTTTTATATACATTTATTTATATAAATTAGATTTTAAGTGCATAAGTTTTGACGTAAAATTATGATGTTTATGTGTTTTATGGTGTACTTATATGATTAGGTTTTTTAGGGCAAACGACGGCATACTAGCAGGCTGATTGCTGAATGGTAGGATTACTTGACTCACCTAACTAATGGCGACCAAATCGTCGTCACATATGGAAACTCGCGGTACTAAATGTAGGACTGAAATGAAATGAATCAAATGATTTTACTCATCCTGGTTAGAGCGAGAGGGAGTATTGGACTCTTACTAGTACAACCATCCCGTTTCTTCTCCTGCTCCAGGCTGGGGCCGCGCTACATATGGCGTTAGACCCGCAACCCTGGGCTATGTAGTGTATAAATAGTATGTGCGTAGAAGTTATAAGCATGTTAGCAGCCTTATGTAGCTTAGAAAATACGGTATTTTGGCATTGGGAAGTGTGGGGGAGCCATGCTTCGGCAGGAATGGGTCGGGTCGACCATAGAAAACCGTTGTGAAACAACCATAAGGTTTCGCCGTGTGAGTGAGGTTACCGGAGGCCCAACCCTTCCCCTCAATCCCCAAATCTAGAAAAAAACTTTAAACCCTAAAAGGTCAGCGACGCACTCGTTACTCCTGTTGCAGTGCTGATTGCCTACCATCAGGTAATCCGTCTGCTCGTTTGCCGGACAAAGACATTCATGGGCCTTCTAAATCCTAACCAGAGGCTCATTCATCTCCCACGACAATGGTTCTAACTCAACTGCTCCGTTGGTAACCCACCTCCTCCTCCTCGCGTCGGTTTCCTTAGTGCTGAGGGTCGTGACCACCTCGTGGAAGCAGTGTACTGCGTATTATTAACCATGCGTATTGGTAACCCACCACTAAAACCATATTCATAAATTCCTACATCGGTCTCCCAGCTGTAGGAATTCTATTATTTTTAGCAATTCTCAGTTTACTATTGAGTTTAGTACATAGCAATCGATTCTTCTTCTTTTAACTTTTTTTTAAAGAAAAAAACGTTGCCCTATTCTAAGATTTTCTCCTGTATTGTGGGTGCATTTACAAACATACACATGACACCCAGACCCGGAACAACGATTTGTGGATCACACAAAGAGTTGTTGCGTCAGCCAGTTGCCCAGCCACTGCGACAACCGTGCAGAAAAATCAATGTTAATTAATGATCATTATAACGGAACGGTTTCTTAAGTGATTATATAAATAATTATATGGTATTATAACCACAAATCTTATCAAACATCGTAACACGAGTGTAAGATATTACTTAACAACTATAATAGAGCCATTGTTTTCAATCGATCAGTTCGACCTTACCCAGTCTGTACCGATCATAAACACGTCCAAAGTTTCGAACTATAACTGGGAGTTTACTAAATTAGTCAATATAATAACAATATTGTTTATTGCTATAGGCGTTGCCTATCTATCAGTTTGTAAGCCTGTACAAAATTTCCAGGAATAGATTTTATTTATTGGAAACATTTGTGATGAGTTTTCGACCCAGTTTTATACAGAGCGACTTTTAATTTTTTGATTGCTTTTTGATTTTTATGTCATTAATTATTTTATACAGTTTTCCGGCATACCAACTTACCCTTAGTATTTTGAAGTATGTATAAAATATTGGAACAAACTTGATTAAAAGTACCTAAAATGAAATCATTTGCAATAACAGAAAAATAATTAAATGAAACAAATGCATTAAGATTTAACTCAGCCTGCTAGCTCAGTTTTATTATGTGTTTTAAGAATTTTCGTATTATATTATACTCAGGCATAATGACAATATTTCAATTCTTAATAGTTAATTTTCGCCAGCTATATGTGTTGGGAAAAATCCTCAATATAGCACAGGAACCATCTTACCGCAATCCAGAAACTACTTACCTCCAAAAGGCTTGTAAAGCACTTGTAATGCTTGTTACTCCTCTGGTGTTCTGTAGTGTCTATGGACGCCTTTGCTTACCACGAGGTAGGCCATCTGCTCGTTTTTTGTCTCTAAATCCTAATCCTACCTAACTAATATTATAAATGCGAAAGTAACTATGTCTGTCTGTATGTTTTTTCTTCACGCGTAAACTACTGAACCGATTTCTGTGAAATTTAGTGCAGACATAGTTTGAAACTCGAGAAAGAACATAGTATAGTTATTATACTAAAAATCTGCAGAGGCAGGCAAAAGCTAGTGTTATATAATTACGAACAGTAGACACAGTCCGTATTAATGCTGACCATTAACAGAACCGGAAAAGGCGCACAATACAGTTATCAAGAAAAAAAGAAAGAAAAAAAAAACATTTATTCGAATGGCTTTTAGGTAAAACAAGCTTACACTTACTTATTTTTAAACATTCGCGTTTCATATTTACAACACATAGTTACGCGGGTATTAACACGGAAAAAACTATTTAAATGTAGGCTTTAAATGTAGGCTTTAAATGTAGGCTGTAGGCTTGAATTGACGACCTGGTTGTACAGGTCGTGGTCACAAGCAGACTGGTCTGCTTGATATTGCCTGGTACCTACACCGCCCCCTATTTCATCGTAAAAGAAACAACATGATATTGTTTAGTGATGAAACTAATACCAGAAACGTCTTAGAATATGGGAACATCACTGTTAAGCCACTGCATTAATTAGCATTCCGAATTTCCATCTAATTTTACACAGAACATTTTGGATCGAATTCAAAGCGTCTGGATTTTGACCCTATTTCGACTAGTCGTTAGCCGCGTTCTACATTCAATATGAAATGCGTTGTTATCACCAGATGTTCCAGTTATCGATACAATCTGTTGTTCGAGGATAATGGAAAACGTTCCAATAGAAAACAGGGATAGAAACACGCTATATCCATACACAGCGGGTTATCAAAAGCTCTAACTATTTGGAGGTTATGAATAGCTCAAATTGAGGGCATTGTTGCAAAATATTTTATTGTACTAATGATACAGATTATGATCTAGTATATTTATCGAATGAGTATTGCGAAAGCAGATTCATTATTTTTTTATTGAAAATAAATCCTTATTAACTTGGATTACCCTAAAAACGTTCTAGTACTTTCTTGTTACTTAAATTTGCTTCCTCATCGCGCCCTCTGACCATAAATGTTGGTGGCATTTTGACGATCTTAATATGCTCGGCTTGTTCAACAGCGATGGGTTCGATTCCCAGATGTTCGGTGTTACATATCTTACTCAATTTATTCAAGGGAGTAAAGAGTTATTTTTAATAAAAGCCAAATTATCATTTTTTATATTAAGCAAATCTCTAGTTCGATTATTTAGAACTTACTGTAGCCAGTAGTAATATCTAAGAGATGAAATCAATCTTCCTAGAAAATAGTAATGGTAGTGCAATATTGACATATACAATTTTGAATAGATTCTTTTGTTGAAGCGTTTCAGTATCATTTATATCTGCACTCTATCTAAGCTATAATAAAATGTAGCAAGTCTTCGTTTTAACACCGATAAAATCCACGCGACCAGTCTCGTATAACAGTGAGATTTGTTTTATATACATTCCTTTGTTTCATCACAATAAAATGAATAAGCTTTTACATTAAATTAACGAGGCAGCCATTCCATCAGACCGTCTGTCATTACACCTATTTCCCTGCTCATTGTAAAAATCTTTTCTTGGCTCATCAGTCATATATATATTTTTTTGTAGTTACTTGCCAAACATGATCGACTTTAAACGAAAATAGTGTTAAATCATAAGTCACATTATTTACTCCATCAGTCAAAATTTTGCCTGGTAGATTCAGCGATTGGGCCAATATTGTGCCGTAAACTTTTTATTTTCTAGACATAGTCATTCATTCAACATTTGCTTCACTTAAAGCTAGACACAAAACTCATCAGTTGTCAATATAAAACCAACCATAAATCAATCGAATAAAATTCAAAATTTGTCCACAGCCTTCAATCCGTCTATTCAACATATCAGACGTGATGGTGCAAGGCGGTGAATGCCAGCCAGACTACTGCGTGGTCAGGGTTATGCCTCCTCCGATCTCCACGAGAGCAGCCTACACTTGCGAGGTGTCTACGGAAGGGCCTAGGTTCCAGATAGCAAGGAAGACGAAGCATATGACTGTTGTTGGTGAGGTTCTAATTATTTGCAAATATTTTTAGAGTGAAGTAAGGTTATGCTAAGTCAACACTTATATATATTATAAAGCTGAAGAGTTTGTTTGAACGCGCTAATCTCCAGAACGTCTGCTTCAGATTGAAAAATTCTTTTAATGTTCTTTAGTACATTTATTGAGGAAGGCTTTAAATCATTAAGCTATAAAACATCACGCTATGATTTGTAGGAGCCGAGCAGCGAGTGAAACCGCGCTACCAAAGCTAGTTACAATATACTATTGTTTTTCAAATACAATTATTTTAACTATTGCGGTTCTAGCCGCTACTCGATTCTTATTCATTGGTTGAACCAATAGTTCCCGAGATCACCTAGTTCAAAAATACTTTTCAGCTTTTAATAATATTGGTGTCGACTAAAAAACTAGCTAAAACCTTAATGATATGAACCTTAAATCTTGTTTAAAAATGGAAACTGAAATTCCATGAAAGCGTCAATACCTATAAAGTTGCCAATCTGGTCAATCTGAAATTTCCAAGTATTTTACAACATTTTTGTGTCAATACTAACTAGTCTTGTTTTGTTTTTATCTAAAATTATAAATAAAATAAAAACATTCAAATTTTAGCTGATGTAAAAGACAAGAGGAATGGTTTTTGTTTTTACTGAAGTAAAGTTGCACTGAAAAGTAAATAGCACAATTTATTCGCCATCAAAATACCATTTTCAATCTTCTGAGAATTGATGTATTCCGTACTCCCCGAGCCAGTCAGTCACATAGAGGTTGACGAGTAATTCAATTGGCCGCCATACAACCAATCACAACAGCCTTCAAAATAGCACATTCACAGATCGGAGACCGTATTTGGCTTTCAGAAACATAAGGTAACTTTGTTACTATTCCTTGTACCGGCCATCGAAACAGATACAGTCCACAGTAGGCATCAAATAACTTAAACCCATTGAAGTTTGAGGTTACATGAGAGAGTGAGATGTAAGTACTCGGGCTACTGTAGAGTGATAAGGACAGAATGTCAGTTGTATTCGCGTATATATCCTTTAAACAAGCAACGTATTAGGTATACAGACGGCGTAGAAAGCTTTGTAATTCGATACACAATCTGCAATAGTCAATCAAACGATCCCATAGTACGTTATGGTAATTAAAGTTGACTGACGTATCATGATTGGTTCATGCACTGCCTGTCTGAATAATTACAGTGTTTTGTTTATGTTTTACGCTTCTGTGGAATATACAAAACACATCATATTGATCGCCTAAGGGGAATGGACCATTATAATTGACATTTTATCATTATTACTTCAGTAACAAAATATGTTCGAGCATATATTATGTTATTCTATAAATAAATTTATATTTACAAATTTCCAAGAAATATTTCCTTGCTTTAAAACTTTTCTTCAAAACAGCCGAAGGCAATGGGCTTCAACAAAACAAAACAAGCAATATTTCATTGTATTATTGAATTATTAGTAATTTTATAACTCTGAGTATTATTTTGACGTACATCGTAGTCGCTGTAGTTAACAATTTGTCTATAATATCGTCGATAATGTCAATACAAATTCGTCAAATGTTTATAAACTAAATAAAAAAAGGATATTTGATCTTTAATTTAGGAAATAATATCATTGAATTTAAGTGTTGAAGAGCCATGCTTCGACACGATTCAACAACAACAATATTCACTACACGTATTACAATAGATTGGACATTTACAATTTTCGGAAACATTTTAAAAGTATTCACTTCTGTCCATCCTCATTGTTATTATTTTTTGATACACTTGAAGTTTTTTTTAGACATTTATATTGTCTGTTGTGTGGGTCTATTAAAGTGTAGGACAAATGTGCTTCGGCACGAATGGGTCAGCTCGACCGGAGTGATACCACGGCCTCGCAGAATATTGGCTTGAACCAACACTAACGATAGGCTTCGCTGTGAGTAAGGTTACTGGAGGCTCAACCCTTCCCCTTCTTACCCTTAATCTTTAAATACACTATCCTTTAATCCCTAATAACCTACAAGAGTTGTACCAACTCCTTTGACATTTCGATGGTCTTTGCTTTTGAGGAAGGCTTACCATCAGGCGATCAAAAGGCAAAACCACCAGGAAACGTACTCTACATAAAGTTTTAAATAATCTGTACACAGCTGCGACTTTATAAAACATACATAACACCAACTCAATTTTCAATCGCCAGCAATTGCGGTTGACGCCGGCAAAATAGTTGTTCAAAAAGCCACGACCGTTTATAGTGCGCATACGGCCAATCGTTTCACCGGCTACCAAGTTTTAAGCTGTATTATAAAACATCAGTTCTATTTCATTGATCATAAAGTTTCAATTCGACTGAAATAAAATCCATTTGAAGCTCTGTTTTGTGCACACGAATTTATGCACACGGCAAAATTGACCAATCAACGTATTAAGCCGGCTTTAGGTTAGAAAAGGTTCTGGTTTGAGAGTTTAAGGTAAAGACCCATTCAATTTAAACGTTTATACATATCTTATTAGTTATTTGTGAGCGCATTTTCGATGGAAAAAGTAAAAAAAGTAATATCGCGTGCTGCTAAATGCGTATTACTTTGTATAATTCATTTCCGTGATTTTTAGAACATATATTTGATGACTAGTAACTAACTTATATTAGTATTTAACTTAAATACAAACAATGACAACATAAACAATAATAGATTATTAAAAACAAATGATTAAAATACAAAAATAAATCAAACAAATTAATCTAAAATAAAATAAAATGACATTAAATAAATAAAAAATATAAATACGGCTATCGTAATTGTTTTATTAATACGTTTTTACGTGTTGTGTCGTAAAAACGGTAGGATTGTTGGAACGTTTTTATGTTTATTACTGATTAGCAAAATAAACCTGTTATTAAAAAAACCTTAGATAAACTAATGGAAAAATATAGGAAAGCGAATACTTCAAAAGTGTATTATTTTAACGAACAATACACTAAAAGTAACATCATAACGCGAAATAATTCAAGTTCCATCCATTTAACTGTCATATAAAAATATTATACGGGCCTATGCTAATTATGATGAACGATTTATTTACTCAGTGTTGTTGTTTTTAAAAACAAAATGAAGGGAAACCAAAACAAGTTTCCATCTCGAAAGTAGCGGAGCGTTTATTTTTTTTCCCACGATTTTCTCTTCGCTCTGATTCTTGCAAGCTTTACGCGACTATTTGAGTCCGCCTGAGAGAAACTGAAATTGTTAAAGATGTTTTATGCTTCCATGTTTATGAAGAAGACGTCTTAAATCTACCTTTTCTAGAAATGATTGTAGAAAACATAAGCTAGGAATCACAGTTGTACAGTCGACAACGTTTTACCAGATGGTTACTGGTTATGAAAAATACTATGAGTTTTATAAAAAAAATGAAAAACGATTATGATATAAAATGATTCGAAACGAATGTTTATCTATGTAGATTTTATTATAATTATTAGAAAAATACAAGATAATGACATAAACTTACTATTTTCAAATACTTTTATAACGTAATTGTATCCAAAGACAACATAAACAATAATAGATTATTAAAAACAAACAATAATACACTCTTTAAATTTTCTACAACACAAATACTTAATTTATTTTTAACTTAAAAAGTGATTTCTTGCTTTTCCAAGAGAAAAACTTTCCATGAAGACCGTCTAGTATTCAAGTGTTTGTTCCTTCTTTGATACCACGTAAATATAATAATATGTTTTCTTTCAACACAAAAAAATAAAAACGGAATTGTTGTTTTTATTTTTTACCAGGCGTTTAGAAATTGTAGGGAATTATCTATTTTTAACCGACTTCAAAAAAGGAGGAGGTTCTCAATTCGACGAGTATTTTTTTTTTTTTTTATGTATGTACACCGATTACTCGAAGACGCCTGGACCGATTTGCGAAATTCTTTTTTTATTCGATAGGGTATACTTGCCATTTGGTCCCATTGTCATGAGGTCAGGATCTGATGATGGAATCCTGGAGAAACCGAGGGGAACTTTCGAAAATTGTAGGGGCGAGTAGTTTTTTTGTATGATGTTTAAGTAGGCCTTTAACAACACTACAACTTGACGAAGGTCGAAGTCGACCAGATGATGGAGCTGGAAGACAGTCGAGGGATCTCCTTGACTATTTGGAGTAGTTGCCTTGTGTTTGGGCTTGAATGATTCGTATTGGCGAGCACTTTGCAGCAGGCTTAGTTGTAACTGTCATTAAGGGTCTGATGATGAGAACGAAGGACAGCTCAGGGAACTCCTGAACGGTCTACAGTAACTACTTCGTGTTTAAACTTAATTCATTTATATTGATGAAAACTTCGTACCTGTATATATTATTACAACTGAAGATCTGCAGTTTACCTGATGATGGAGACCATTGACCGTCGAGGGAATTCCGGATGGAACCGAGAGACAGTCGAGAGAACTCCTCAACGATTCATAGCAGCTTCCTTGTGTTTGAGCTCAATAAATTCGTTTTGATATGAACTTTACACCTAGATGGATTGTGACTGTCATTAGGGATCTGATGATGCAGACGAAGGACAGTCTAGGGAACTCCTCAATGGTTTACAGTAGCTACCTCGTGTTTGGACTTAATTTATTTATATTGTTAAGAACTTTCCCTCTTCTAGAGAGATGACCTGTGTCCCAGTAGTGGGGAAATTAAAATGGCTGATGATGATGATGATGATGATGAGAACTTTCCCATTTCTTGGGATCTATATTTTTTTTAATAGAGCGGCTCCTTTCGTGGGCTTACACATAGCTACTTAAAAATATATACTATTCAATATGTTAATTTATATTTAAAATGTTACTGTAGTTTACAGAAGAACTTGTAACAGACACTACAAAGTAAAAAATAAAAAAAAACTACGTTTAAAAAAACCGACTTCAAAAACAAAAAAGTGTCAAATAAGTAATTTAAATTGATATTTTAATACCACTCTTACGTACGCGAAGCTAATACTTTAATATTAATAATAAAACACTATCAATTCTATGTGCTACCTATTCATAGGTTTGAAGTCGGTGCCAAGCCCTAAACAGAATAAAACTAGATGAGAATTCAAACTGTTTAACTGCTAAAAGACGAAATTTCCATAACCAACAACGAAGCTACCTACTACTACTTTTAACATCCTAGTAGGTACGAGAAAACTTTCAGAATTCATAATTCATCCAAATATCTTTCTAAGCTATATACAGTTTCGCCGGTAACGAAACCATATAGACTTCTGATTCTACGCCAACGCCATCAAGTTAGAAAATCTTTACTAAATTTCTTAAATCCTAACAAATAAATTCACACGCGCCCGGCGAGTGTAGGTACTCATGTATCATGCTTATTATATTATGTATTAGGCTTGGCACCGACTTTAAACCTATGAATAGGTAGCACATAGAATTGATAGTGTTTTATTATTAATATTAAAGTATTAGCTTCGCGCACGTAAGAGTGGTATTAAAATATCAATTTTAATTACTTATTTGACACTTTTTTGTGACTTCTTGTGATATAATAAGCATTACAATAATTTATGTTCCTTATTGTGTATGTAAAAGATTTTGTCACTCACTGTACCTACATCTATTGTAAGTCACAAGTCATTCGGTCCTTTTGTCAAATGTATTTAAATTTACAAGTCCATTCAAGTTTAATGTTACTAAGTAGCTTACTTGCGGTCCCCAAGCACCTTCCCACTCACACACCCTTAACTCAGTCACATACAAAGGCTTTGATTACCGTTCAATGTGACGAACACGAGCACAATACAAACTCTTGTATCGTCTGCATTTTCAGTAGACACATACTAAAAATGCACTATAAAGCTTGAGAATAAAGTCTTTTGTTGATTGTATTTTGTACAAAGTACATTAGCCTATCGTAAAATAGCTTGTTTCAGGGTGAGCGCACATTGATGACATTAACAGCGTCTAGTTCGAGCTTTCGTTAATAGCCGTACCACGCTCGCCTCTAAAACCACAAGTTTTATCGGTGCAATTATCTGAACAACACAAACCGCCGCCGTCGACATCAATATGGCCTCGGCCTTACAATAGCGTAACTCGGCAATTCAAATTTAAGGCTTTTAATTAAGTTCAGCATCTCATCTACGATTGTAAGGACTTTGAGATAGTCGATTCCCCTTGGCGATCGCTGCATTTGGTCTGTGTAAGTTTGTAACGAAGTTATGACACCTAGTTGTTAGGATAGTCGATGTATTCAAATCTATTTTGTGTTTAGCGATGCCGCAGGCGGATCCCGTGATAATCGGAGCGCCAAAAGTGTTGAAACCTGGGGAGCAAGTGTTCCTGAACTGCACGTCCGATTTCTCCCTACCACCGTCGGATATTAATTGGTACATCGACGAGGAGCTACAAAAGGTTAGTACACAACAGCCTTTGCCATCAATTTGCTTAATTTGATCGTGATTGGGTTTACGAGCAGAAATCCAGTCATAAAGGGAGTTACGATTGCAATGCGATTTTAGAACCATTAATAGTTTCATCGATTTAAGCTCGAAATCGTGGAAGCCAGTGGTATTTCGATGGCTATTAGCAGGAACTTACTGATGAATTCATTCGATTTGCTCGGCACAATGTGTTTATTGAAGGGTAATTCTTTAGCTGATCAGCTTTCTGGTTTTGTGAAAGATTTGCGTTTGACTTCTATCGCAAGCAACAAATGAATTGTCAAACCATTTAACATTCAAAGGCTAATTTCCAGAATTTTCTTAATATACATTCTTAATAATTTATGCCTTGCAATTTCCATTATCAAGGTAATTTTTACATTGTGGCAGTATGTCTATTGTTGGCTGACAATACGCTATGTATGTATAGTCCGGACAGAATACATATTATGTATATTCGTTGTCATGTCACACAGGAATCCAATTTGAGAGGATTATGCTCCTCAAGATGAGGTTCAGAATAATAAGATGAAGGACCTCTTTGCTTTGTAAAAGTGATTTATTATATTAATTTTTAAATAAGAAACACAATTTCTTTGTATTGCTGGTAGCTGGAATTCTGTTTATAGTTTGATAAAAATATCTTCACAGATACCTAGATCTAAGCATACAAAGACTTTGAAGAGAAAACGAAAATAAGTATTTAAATACGTCTTTAAGAAATATTTTTAATTTTCAAATTTCATTCGTGTTCCTTTTTACGCATTTCAACATAAAAGCGTATTCCCTAAAATAGATTTATGATTAAAACACGACCTCCCCACTATTATTTACATTTCTGAAAATGCTTGATACGGCCAATTCCAATTTTTCATTACAGAAGCCCTCGATTGTAAATAGCCGTTTTTTTTTCAATATTTTCAAACGAATATAATCTGTAGTACGACTTCGAATTTTTCGTACAAAAATGTTGATTGCGAACTATTCTTTTTGAGTTTGGTGTTTTCGTAACACCTATTAAGGTTATTCAATTATAATTTAATTGAATTTCTGTCTAAGAATGCGTGCTTTGAGTAAGTAGCTATTATTTCTTATCAATAAATTCGTAATAGAAGATAGATTATTTTTTAATTCAACTAAAATATTAGTCATGCGCCATTCTTAGTTTACACAATTATAGTTTATAAGACAGTTATAATATAAATGAGTGAAATCTTAATAAAGCAAACAATAAAAGACCTTCCTAGCTTCCAAATATGGTTGTTAATAGTATAATATAATAATGCAAGTGGTTTATCCTTGCATATTATTATGACCTACCACATTACGAACCTCCTTTGTATGAAGTGGACCTGCATTGTTTGCCATTACGTTGGCTCATTGTTAAGCGACTCTAAGCAGTCGAGGTACTCTTTAAATCTTCGCTAATGGCCTTTTAAAACAGCCAGTATATTTCGTCCAAATGCTCTTCCTTTATTCCCAACAGTAAAACCTTAAAATGTTTATAATTAGATTTTTGTAAATATATGGGCTTGGCTGTTCGATTGCGTTTTTGTGGAGTCGGGTGTATTTATTATTTGTTTTTATTTTTCTTTGTTTGGATAAGTTACAATTTAATGATTTTTGGGTTGACTTTCCTCTTCTTAATCGTTTTTTAGTAAAACTTGTAAGTTTTATTCAAGAAAAACGAGAAATCACTGTAAGCTGTAAGCAAGGTGTTCAGCCGGGGTTGCGGGGTAAGCGCAATGAGCGCTCGGCCCAGAGCAGGAGAAGGAACAGGGGGGTTTTTAGTCAGTAAGAGTCTGACACTCCCTCCCGCCCGGCCCTGGGCGGGAGAAGTCATTTGATGACTACCCTCACAAAAAAAGGTGTTCACTTGTACCTACATATTAATCTGTGCATATATTGTAAAGTAATTTCAGTAGATAGCTTCAATTCTGAAAATTATATCAACCAGCCTTACAATTTGTCTGCTTCAACATTTTAGTATCATCAGATGTTGATGTTTTTCGGTTTGTTTTCACAACATTTACATTTTCCCAATGAGTTTAGCCGTATCCTTACAATGAAGCAGGTATTTATGTTGAAATTTCCATAAAATATGAACGAAATTAAACGTAAACTCACCGCAACGTCGCTTCCAGGTTCTAATTAAAAAGCCATGAATCAATTAACTTGAAAACCTGGTTCATTATTCACAGTAAAAATAGCAAACTAATTATAGCGAATGTTATTTTTATGTATATTTTTTATTTTATTTATATTTTAATATAATGATTTTGTGCACGATAGAATATTCTTGTTATTTAAAAATGTATTAATAGAATAGAATTTTTAAACTCTTTACAATAAAATATTATTATTAAAATTGTAATAATTTATTTGTACATATTTTATTAACCAGCATTGTTTTTGGTCTGTTCCTATTTTAAATGATGTTGTTTCAGACGTCATTTTTATTCGTTATCTTCACGAAATCAATTTTTGACTTACCTGCATTTCGAATTGTACCTTTTCAGATAATTAAATTGGCATACAATTTAATAGAATCTACGCCAAAAATGTCTGTAACTATTAACTATGCAGTTTTTTTTAAACAAAGAGCAGTTAGTTGTTTTAAGGCATTATTTTAATAGGTCTATTAAATCATACACTTGAGACCACATCACATGGATATATCCTTTAGCCTCTTATTGCAAAAAGAGTTACTAAAAAGACGTGTCAAATCGAGTTTTGAGTCACATAATTATTTTGCCTATATGATGAAACGTTTTTTTAACCACGTTCAAAAATAAAAAGAGGTTGCCAGTTTGACCTGTACATACATAATATATGGTGTATATGTTTGTTTGAGATTATCTCGCGGCTGCTCAAACCGATTTTGATGAGGTTTCCAGAAACTATTTGTTTGACAATTGTCTTAATAGCAATTAAACTATATCAGTGTCCATTCTAATCTAGTGTTATTTATTTTTTAGACGGTGTCCCACTATATGTTGTTCTCCAGTGTTATGGTTTCGTTTCCAAACATGCAAATTTACATACACAAACCAACCACTCGAAACAACAATTTGCGGTGATGTTTTTATTTAAATCTATTTATGGCTAACGGTACAATTGAACGGCTACAAATAAACAGATACTAAACCAGTATTAACTGACCGATAAATGATCGGAAAAATCATTTAAAGCAAGATCATGATAATCTGGTATAGGTAGCCAAATGTACTTACATTAGTACATTAGCCACAGCAGAACGGCCTGAATAACTCGACATTTTATGGAATGCCTGGATTATTCTCACAGGCCGTTAGTTGAAAGGCTTATTGAGCTAGTTACCAATATCAGATTATTATGAACTCTATATAATATGAAATAAAGTCGCTTTCTCTGCGCCTAGTATTCTTTGTATTATATATAATGTCCTTTACATTGGCAAAAAAGCCTATTATAAAAACATGGCAACACGCATAAAACATTTTGTTAAATTCCTAGTTATTTTAATAATATTCATTACACATAATACGATAGGACACTTATAATATTCGAATACATTTTTTGTAAGTATTCACTTTTGTCAATCCTTGATGTTATTATTTTTGGAACAAATGTTTTTTTACACATTTATATTGTCTGATGTGTGTGTCTATTAAAGTGCGGTACAGCTATGCTTCAGCACGAATGGGTCGGCTCGACCGTAGTGATACTACGGCCTCACAGAAAACCGACGTGAAACAACCACACCGTGTTGTGTTTCGCCGTATGAAAAAAGTTACCGGAGGCCTTTCTTATCCTAAACCATTCCGTCTCCAATACATAAATCTTCAAAATCCCTAATCCCCAAAAGGTCGTAAACGCACTCGTATCGCCTATGTTGTTGCGGGTGTCCATGGTCGCCGTTGAATGCTGACCATCAAGTAATCAGTCACCTTGTTTGCCGGTCTATCACATAAAAAACTCACTGTTGTAACAGTAATCCAATTGTAAGAGGCATCATTCTGCACTCAACATTTCTCTGAGTAGTATTTAGTCTAAACAAACCATGTTTTACTTAACCATCTCATTAGTGCCTCTAAGATGTATACGCCAGTATTGATAACGACTCCAGAGCGATGCGCGGCAATAATTATGTGCATCAGGCGCATTTCCACTGCGCTTGGAATTCACACCCGACTTAATAAGACGCAGTTCCCATCAACAGTCACTTGATATTAGACTGTATAGAATTTATCATTATCCTCATGAATTTCTTGCTAACAATCACTACATAGTATTAAACAAAGTCGCTTTTTCTATCCCTTTATCCCTATGTATGCTTCCATCGTTAAAACTACGCAACGAATTTTGATGCGGTTTTATTAATAGATCAAGTGATTTAAGAGGAAAGCTTAAATGTATAATTACATCCAATAAATAGTGGAGAAATTTTGTGCTAGTATTGCATTGTAACTCGACGTATTCCTTGCAGGATATCATAGTAGCTACAAATTCAGCCAGCAAATGTTCTACCGAAGTTCTAGCTTTTAATGTGTAGTAAGGAGGTTTTAGATTTTTCACAAAAAATCCCAGATTAAATTATTTGAAGCCGATTTGAAAATTATTCACCGGGCGACTATACTGAAATTGGAGTTATTATCATAGTTGATGCCGTAGCGGATCGTTTTTAATAATTTATAGTTCAAAATGACTAAAACTTTAGTAAGGTTCACCAATCAAACACATTTTTTTTTTGTTGTTATGGTAGTTATAATTGTTATTTTGTTGTCAACATTTTGTTTTCATTTCTGTCAAAAAACATTTATTCCAATTAGACCCTTACAGGCACTTTTGAACGTCAAACAAAATTTTGAAGATATAGTGTCAGTCTGTCGGTCAGTCCTCTTACGCCCGGTTCCTATAATTGAGAAACGATCCGTTTTAATTACGAATAGTAGTTTTATATACGACTCGTAAGCTAAAACCGTTCCTATAATAAACGTCTCGTCGTGCAACTTACTGACGGTTTGCAACTAACGGATATCGGTAAGCGAATTGTATGGAGATCTATGGTGTCTGTGGTTTTCCTATAAATATTTTAACCGTCAGTAGACGGTCAAGATATCTATTTGTAATGCCATTTGGTCGTAATGCGTATACAACGACGATTCGTTAAATATAGGAACCGGGCATTAGTGAAGCTATTTGCTCGTTCCAAAGTGTAGATTCCGATGGAGAAGAATGAGCAAGAAACTCCATGGTTACTCTTTTTAAACCAGTTTCATATACAGATTCCTTTTACAAAGAGTTAGTTCTGTAATGCACTTATTACTTTTGTGGTGTTACAAGAGTTCATTAACGTCGCTAATCAATTACTATCAGATAAACGTCTGCTCAAAAAAGTTTAGGTACAATTATTAACCTCACTTGTCGAATATTCTCAAGAGTGATTAGATCTAGAGAGATATAGGCATCGGGTTCGAGAAAGACTATCGCCAACAAACTGTTTTACAGTTTGGCGATTTTTGATGTAAAGTTAATAATATAAAATTTTTGTGACTAAATATATAAAAATAAGGCAAAGCATTAGGTCTTTTTTTACAAAAATATGTCAGATTTCGCAGTTTTCGAGTGACACTAGGTAAATCCTAAATTCTTTCATCTCTCTGAATCCAAATCCAAGCCTTAAAATGTCAGCAATGCACATTTAACTCTAGAGTTGTTAGTGTCTGTGGTCGACGCCAATTGTTGTCATAGTGATTCTAAAGTTTGTTTGCCTCCCTAGGCCATAAAAAATATTAAAAGCTTTGCAAATTACCTATGTTAAAAAAACATAATTACTTTAATCATATACTTTTAATGCGTTAGGATGGCAATCGAGTACACAGATTTCCTGTTAGGAATTAAGGACGCCCGTGGACACCCGAAACAACAGAGGAGTTACGAATGCGTTGCTAAGTTTTTGGGGATTAGGGTTTGGGAGATTTGGGAAAGGGAAGGATGGTAACCATAGGCCCAATCCTTCCCCAAACCAACCAACCGTGAAGCAACCACAGGATTTAATCCTGTGGTTATTCTGTATTCTGTGAAGCAGTGATCACTCTGGTCTAGCCGACCCACTCTTATCGAAGCATAAATCTCTCCCACACTTAACAAATCATTAGTTAATATTTAATATATACATTTAATTATAAGTTTAAACTTTATACAAATAAAATTCAATAACATCCTCTAACCATCCAAACATTAATAGGTAAATAAATGCAACGATTTATAGATTATCTTGTAATTAACGTAAAATAACATTATAATGTAAATAGCCAGTAATAATGAATTACGTGAGCAAACAAATTGCATATTTCCCACAACTAAATTAAATTTTGTGCTTCCATCGCTTCTATTAAATTATAATCTGGCGTACGATAGCCAAATAGATTGCAGTGGGGTATTATTTCATTAGTTTAATAATGCCGCTGTCCTCTGCTCCAGGATAATCCATTAGAGAGCCAATCGACTTAACTGCGACTTATCTCTTGTTACCATGTGTTAGACGTAATTGGAGCTAAAGGTTCTAAATTATTATACCTTTGAGAATACTGAAAAAGAAAAAAACTCCATGGTCTTTGATCGCATTGTGCCGAGAAACTCAAACAGTAACGTTTTTGTTTTAATTTGAAAACATGAGGTATAATTTAAAATTCGAATCTGTTAGTAAGGATTGATTTCTTTGAAAAAAATCGAAATCAATACAGAGATATGTGATTAAAACAGGGTTTTAAATGATTAAATCAAAGTTTTGTTCTCTAAATGAGGTACTTATTTGATTTTGAAGATGCACTTGCGAATACTGCACATATATTTTTTATTGAAATTCTTCCGTACTAAAGTAAAGACACATAGCTAAAATAAATTATTTGTTGACAGCCCGAACCGTGGCAGAAGACTGAAGTGACGGGCAACCAGCCTGGAGGGCTGCGTCGCTCATGGCGTGTAATGCGCGTACGCGTCCCGACCACTGCGAGCGGGTCGCTGCGCGTGCGCTGCGAGTCTATACTGCTGGTGGAGCCCCCTGTAGTCAGGGATGCAAACACCATCATCACTATACACTCGCGCACCCAACTGTCTAAATATGTGTCTAATATTAGTGGTAAGTTGACCTTTTACATTATTTAACAAAATTGATGGACTTTTTCAGTATCATAACATAAGCAGTTGAATCAAAATCATTTAATTTGAATCTTGAGTAACCAGAAGAAAATGATTCTTAAACTTTACGTACCCTAGTACAAGTTTCAACCTCAATGAGGAAACAATAAAGTTGAGTATCTTAAAATCCGTTAAAATTAAAAAAGAAAGAAAATAATTAATCTTCAATTTACCAACTGTACGTACGTACGTACATTATATGGAGTTAAGTCTGATTGCATAAGTATGCTGACACCACAGCCCATTAAAGCGGCAAAAAGCGATGAGCGCATTATCGATATAATTGTATTTAGGTCGTTTAACATTTACGCGAAAATAATGCAATTAAGTAAATAAATTTAAGCCCGACTCTCGGTACACATGCACACGATTGCCTACCAAATTGTATCATTATAATAAATTATATTAACATAAAAATTGCAGCCATAAAAAAAAATATTCGTAGCTTGTATATGGGATGGGATTGTTTTATCAGCTACCGTATATGTACCGTGTGTACTATTAATGATTGAGATTTGATATAAATTACATCTTTAAAATTTTACTTTGATAAATTTTTATAAGTGTACTTTTTTGAATATTATACAGCATTAAGGTGTTTTTATAAGATTCGGATGATTTGATGGTAAGCAGTCGGTGCCGCCCATGGAAACGCCTGCAATACCAGAGAAGTTAAGAGTGCCTTAAGAAATAGGTGTCATTTATATAGTAAGGGGCTTTGGAGATTTAGAGATTGAGTTGCGATGGGAGAGGGAATGACAGTCACACGGCAAAACAACGCTGCGGATGTTTCACGCTATTTGTGCATAGTTGGATGTTTTTATTCTTTTAAGAAATAACTTCTTAGTAGCTTTGATGGAAATTGAATCAGACACAGATTATAGTCTAGAATAATTTCCAATTTTTGTTTTCATTCGACTCAATGAGTATGACGAAAAATTATAGTTTTAACTGCAAGGTTGGCGTAGTGGCTGGACAACTGGCCGCTGTGCAACGCGCAGCGGTTTCAATTCCCGCACGGAACAATACTTTGTGTGATCCACTAATTGTTTTTTCGGACTGGGTGGTTTGTGGCACATGACAGAAAAGAAAATCCTACTTAATGTGGCACAACCTCGTTTAAAAAACTGATATGACAATTGTCTGAATACATTATCCATTTGTTGTATATTTGTGTGTTATATATTTTTGTTTTGTTTCAGGTACAAATGTAGTCAATACTGGCTTGTTAATAGCAACAATTGTATTATGGACTTTAATTAAAATATCAAGATTAACGAGCTTATGAGATTCGGTGTGAAATATTGTTTCGTGATATTAGCATTAAGTGTAGATATTATCGGGAATGGCCTGTATTAACATACAAAAAATGTAACTATATGTATACAAAATATAAGAAACCAGATTTAGTTAACCAAATCATTTCAATAGGTCATTGACATGTGTGTTTTTGTTTTCAGCAACTTTCATTATAAAGGTTCCAGCCTAAAATTAATTGCTTTCGGTATGAGACTGATCTCCGATCACTATGTAAAGGTTGTTTGAACATTATTATTGTATAAAATTATTGACTCATGAATACCAACAAAAATAATTACATCGAAAATTTACCTTTTGGTCAACAATTGCTTTTAATTTCGAGCGTTCACAAAGGATTTTTAATTTTTTATTATAAATTCTACATTGAATTAAAGAATAAATCTGAATATTACCATTGTTAATTTCTGAATAAATTATAACAGCGAGCTTTCTACAGCCAAAACAACGGAAGATAAGCTAAAGAAGGCTAGATTAAGAACACAGTAGACAAAAAAGAAAAATATTATAAAAATAAAATATAATATAATACCTACTCATAGACCTCATTCATGATGTATCACGGAAGAATATAATTATTTTTTGTACGTTTCTGAAACGTTAGTGAAAATCATCAAAAATGTATATTAAAATGAATTTGTTGATAAGTTCATAGATAAATTAAAAATGTAATAATATAAAGCTAAATTGTAAACATTGTGTTGGTTTTATTAAAGTGAAAGAGTCCCTTAGGTAACTAAAAAAATAATTTGTAAATGGCTCGCAAAAAAAGTACCAGCATCATTTATAAAAGAGACAATTTGAAATAAGAACCTATCAATTTGTACCCTAACCTTTTATTCAAGTTCATTTGGCATAAACACATTGAAGATTGTAAAATAAATAAAACACTCCAAAGACCGCCATTTTGTTTATTAATGAAAAAGCATTTTCATTTATTACATCCACAAAAATTAAGTAATGTGAGCCTTGTTAAATTTGTTATACTGTTCGATTAACTACAAATGTTTAGATAGATAATTAATTTCAATATTGCAATCCTGCTCATGACTATGAGTCCCCAGCGTGGCTTGAAAATAGTCGAATCTAACAGTTTATGAAAATATGAACAACATAATTAACTGTTTGTAACTTTTTAATTTTCTTATTTTACTTAAAGAGTCAATGCGTTATGTATTGTAAATTAGTTGTACTAAAAAAATAAGTAAAAATTAATAGTTTTAAATAAATAGGCGTTAATCTATGGCTGTGTTTTTCACTTAAGGTAACGTCAATTCTTTGCACTACTTACATCATCTTTTTAAAATATAAATGTACAGTGACACATAATAATTGTTGTTTTTTGTTGGTTTTACTTTTTGGTATAATTTTTATTATTGTATTAATGTAAATTTTAACTGGGATACGTAAATAAAGTTATGATACAAATTGTATGTCTTGTGTTTTTTTTAATTATTTTTAATTAGCCTGTAATGTCTGAGTGCTGGGCAAAGGCCTCCCCATCTCGCTTCCACACCTCCGATCTTTGGACCGTGTCCACGTCCAGTCTCGACGATAGGCATCTAGATCGTCATGCCATCTTTTCCGGCGCCTACTCCGCCTGCGGCCTCCATCCTGAGGTGTCCACTGGGTGACAATAGTGGCCCATCTCTCCGGATGCATTTGGCTGACGTGACTGGCCCAGTCTAATTTTAATTTTGCCGCGTTTTGGCCCACATCAGCGACTCCTGATCTGGAATGCATCACGGTATTCCGTATGCGATTGGTCCGTTTATGCCTAACAGGCTACGTTCCATATTGCCCTTTTTTAATAATAAAACATAAATATCCTGATTGCGATGGATGACAGCCTTGACTGTGGATGCAACCACAATGATGTACCGCAGCCCCGACTTGGAGCAGGAGAAGGAACGGGGTGGCTTTTAGTCAGTTAGAGTCTGACAATCCCTCTCGCCCGACCCAGGGCAGGAAAGCATATTTAACGTCCTTCTCCCTCAAAAAAAGGACAATCAATAGAACACTTGCAGTTAAAGGATCTAGATTTTGAAGATTTATAGCCTGAATATAAAAGTATTGGACTTATGTAAAATGATGTGGAATTAGATATTGATTATATTGTTATTCGGATATTGGGTACTTTTGTATATCATCTTCCACGAGTGGCTTTACTTAACGTGATACGGTGATACTAGACATTCTTATATAGGTGAATAGAGGCCGCGGTGCCATATTGCGCTCCATCGTGTTGGGCCCTATCGGTAATAGTCTAATGGCTCCGCAGACTCGTGCTTACGGTGAGCGGAGACCTTTCTTGATCCCCGACGTCCTAAGTGTCTTTTAGTGTCAGATGTCAGATTAAAACCAACCTCAATGTAGAAATTGATAAATGTAGAAGAAAAGAAGGAGTATGACAGAATCGTATCGGCGTACAATTATAAAACATAGGTAACGACGACAGGCGCGACTATATAGTTGTATATGTGTATGTTTAATTATTCCTAAGTAACCACTTAGTTTCAAAATCCTGCTTAGAATTGGGTTCATAATAATTATATATCTCTGAGTACGGACAACTATGTCAAACGTTAAGCTTTTTAGATAAACAACAAAGTGTTAATTAACAATCCTTAGTAACATGCTTCTAAAGCGGAAACATAGTGCAAAAACATATGAAAACAACTATGTAGTGACAAAACTAACAACCCGTAATGCCGTTTTAAAGCACCACTAACCTAGAAAGAGTAAACAGAACAGCTTCAGCATTGAAACAACTGAATAACTCTAGGGACAGTTAACTAACCTGTTAACAAACGTTCCAACTTGTTCATAGCTATGTAAATTCGTTTGTAATTTAACCATTTCATGTATAAATAAGTGTTTCTAGAACAACCCCTCTAGGGTGTTAGCGTTCATGAATTTGTTTATACATGTCCAATGAGAATCTTATGTATTTGTAAATTAAAGTTGCTTTTGCATCGAGTTCTGATCTAAATATTATATTAATTAAGAATTAATATTAAAAATCAGAGTAATAATAATTCTTTATCCCAATAACTACCGCCTAAGTCTTACAATATAGATAACTTCAGTGGAAAACCATTGACGTAATAAAAAAAAACTTGTTCCATTTGAAAAAAAAAACACTCACTAAAAAGCCAACTGATAACACATTGGCTTGGTTTTATGAGATCATGCTGATACTTTATCGTCATAATGTTTTTATTTTAATCGTACTATAATTATCGGAGATATGATATAACATCTAAATAATCTAAATAAAAAAAGGAACCATCTCCACCTTTTTTAAATTTATATAAAAATTAATGACGACATTGACGAATAAAATTATAAAATTGTTAAGTGTGGGAGAGCCATGCTTCGGCACGAATGGGTCGGTTCGACCGGAGTGATACCACGGCCTCACAGAAAACCGGCGTGAAATAACCACAGCGTTGTGTTTCGCCGTGTGAGTGAGTTTACCGGAGGCCCAATCCTTCCCCTCCCCCAATCCCTCCTAAATCCCTAAATCTCCAAATCCCTAATCCCTAAAAGGTCGGCAACGCACTCGTAACTCCTCCGTTGCGAGTGTCCATGGGCGGCGCTGATTGCTTACCATCAGGTAATCCGTCTGCTCGTTTGCCGACCTATTAAATAATAATAATAAAAATCAAAGCAATTGTATGTGGTAATTGTATATTGATGATATTGTAAAAAAAAATAAGTTGTAAAATACGTTGAACATTGTTATGGAAAAATGACTTCTTTACTTAACGTTATTAGATTGAAATCACTTCGCACGAGGCATTCTAACTGATCGATTGGACGTATTCTTCTTAGCCCTATTAAGAACAATGATTAGTCTCATACAATATTTTAATAGTCTCCATTGTTAAATACTGGTCTAGTCGTCTGTTTCTGAACGGTAGAGAGGCTTTATAGACAGGTACATTAGTAGCCAATTAATATAAGTGCTAAGTCCTATGCACGTTTTAATAGAATGAAATATTATTAAATCTTAGTAATAGGACGATTTCAATTGAATTGAATATTTGCTTTCAATTACTGAAGCGATTAGAAATAAAAAACAAATTGAGACTTATTTGCATCATTGAATTGTGTATATACAAACACACATAAGTATATATACATATTATACCCATAAGTTTACGTAAAAGAACGTATTATTATAAAGCATACGAAGTATGTCATATGTTTTGTTTGAGAATTTGTTGCGGATTTTTATATATTTTATACAGATAGACAAGATACTAACTAAGACATGAATGAATATCCAGATATATTAAAAAATAACTATCAAAACTATTTTATCCCGCTCAATTAGAACTATAAGTTCGGTGATGAGAGAGTTCAAGCAATCAAAAAACTATTAAACTTCAGTCTAAAGGAATACACAGGTGGATAGAAACCCATACAATCCCATATTGTATTCTAAAACTTAATATTATTGCAATAACAAAGATACAGTTTAGAACTGCGAGTGATCGGGTAAAATATTTCTTGATTGTCCAACGTACAAAGTACCCAGTGAGGGTGGCCAGCCTTATGGAAAAACAGTAGAACAAAGGCAACATTAAACTGCGCAATCATTTAAAAACACTCCCTCCATCTTTATTTGTTTTTTCTTTGAAATCAAAGCAATTTAAATGTAGATTCATTTTTTATTGTAAAATAAAAAAGCAATGTATTCATGATACGTACCCACACTAAAGTTCTAAGCACGATGGCTTTGGGTTTAATACCTCATTGATATGGCGCTCAGAGTGTGCAAGCTAGATCGTTAAAGGTGCTACTTAGGATTGAAGCCAGTAGCGTAAAAACTTTTTGCAAACTGACTCGGTAGCGCAGTTGTAGGATTTTTTTCTGCAAATTGTGAAAAAATCTGATGTTTTTTTAATTTGTTTTACTGCTACAAACACGTAACGGATGGAATTAAAATTATTGGAACGAAATAGTTTTTAGCCAATGTGAAATTATTAATTTCAATTAAACTTTTGAACACTTAGGCCCTTTTGAATACTTTAAATTTATTAAAATTATTTTGTTATGGTATAGGTTAGCAAACAGGCAGACGTATTACCTGATGGTGAGGATTCAGCGCCGCCCATGGACAATCGCAACACCAAAAGAGTTATGAGTGCGTTGCCGGCCTTTTAGGGATAAGGGTTTGATATCAGTACCTATGTATCGTTTTATTATGTATTTGTTTTCTATAAATAATAAATAAACATTAAAGAATTGTGCAGGGATTGGACCTCCGGTAACCTCACTCACATGGCAAAACACAACGCTGTGGTTGTTTCAAGTCGGTCTTCTTTGAGGCCGTGGTATCACTGGAGGTCGAACCAACTCATTCGTGCCGAAGCATGGCTCTCCTACACCTTATTTAGAAACTCACCTAAATCATAAATAAACAAAATACAAAATGTTTTTTTTCCTACATTCCATAGAGTGTACAAAACAGCTATTGATATTACAATAGTATCACTATACGAGCTGGG